CACCATGATAACTTTTTGCCCCGGAAAAAAGTTATTCAAAACATCCCCAATAATTTTTGTGTAAATAACATGATAATATAAGCACCGCATAACCGATAACTTGCAATATAAACATGATGGCAACTTTTTTACCAAAGAAAAATATATAAGTTGTTGAAAACATACACTCGCCTCGCGCGTGGGCCTTTTGAATGAACACAACACATGGCGTGCCATGGGAAAGTCACATAATGTTTAGTGTCATGAGGGGCACACGTGCTATAGGCGTGATAAATTACGCAAAAACATCATGATAATTTTTGGCCTATGGAAAAAACTACTGAAACACATCTAGGTTTTTAAGTGCAAATACCATGATAATATACGAACCGTAGACCTGGTAACTCATGTATAATCCCCCATGGTAACTTTCACCGGGGGGAGGTTGATGTACATATACCCTGATAACTTATGTGTAAGTACCACGGTATTTTACACATCGAAGACCTTATAACTTGTGTACAAAACACAGTGGTAATTTTGAAAGGTTGTAGTTGTTGAAGCATAGTACCTGATACGTTCTATGTAAATAGCACGGTAAGTTATGCAACACAGGCCTGATAACTTGCATACAAATATTATGGTAACTTTGTCCTGAGAAGAAATCATGTGATAGACGTGAAGAAGTGGCAGTTTTCTCGGGGGTGTGCGCCCGAGATGTGCGGGAGAAGCAGGTTTCTCAGGCGAGCCTGCGGGGTCATTTGGGAAGAGGCGAGGTCAAAGAACGAGGGATCGTATGGTACTTTAAATGAAATAAATAGAGGTGTGGCAGTTTTGCTTATATGGCACACGTGTGTCAAATATCACGGTCCTTTTTTAATAGATGTTGCACATTTTTCGTATACAAATTGAACATTTTTTAGACACATGTGTAACATTTTTTTAATACATGTTGGAGAATTGTAAAATGCACATTGAACATCTTTTTTAAAATACACAATAAATATTTGGGCTGGATACGAGGGACGTCAGATAGCCCAGGCGTTTGAGGCGCCCGGGCGAGTCGATTTTTTGTGACCGGTTCGCTCGTCCGGGCGTTTGAGACGGGTTATGTTCTTAGGGATGATGGGACTCAACATTTTAATAGACTTGGTGCGAGCACCGGGTGGATTTGAAGTGAGGTGACAAATAGCGAAGTAATAGGATTGTGCTAACTTCCACACGTACTGAAGTTAAGCAACAGATCCGCACGATTCCTTTCTAACTTGCATGCATGCATTAGCTTCATCTTATTTTCTTTCTTTTTTCTGAGAGCTACTAGTCATATACATGCAGAAAAAACGAAATTGATGATGTCATCAAAAATTCTTCCCAATGCAAAAACTTAAAATATTTTGTAGCTCAAACCGTTGGTCCGATTGAAAAATTGTTTTCACATAAAAGATTCGTCGTGACGAGACCTTCGAAACTAGATCCCATGTTGGTATGTTTTGACGATATCTTTTTTTGAGTCAAAATTTACCACGTGTGTGCTACACGAGTTATCATGCAGTTGTATATAAGTTATCATGTTATTTATACAGAAATTACTAGGACATAAAAGATAGTTCTTGTAATTTTCTCTTCACATGCACATGAATGCATACATTAAAAGGGAAAAAATGGATGCATCCTCGATTCTACATATTTTAAAACTTTAAAATGTGTTATAGGTCAAAGCGTCAGTCTGATCAAAAAATCGTTTTCACATAAAAAATCAGTTGCGACGAGACTTACGAAACTAGATCCCATGTTGATATGTTCTGATGACTTTTTTCCGTGCAAATAGTTACCAGGCTGGGCAAAGGCTAAGTAAGTTATCAGCTCGGATGTGTGTCTATTATCATGTTATTTACACATGAGTTACCGTGGTACATTTTCAACAACTATTTTTTTCCAGGACAAATTTACCGCGGTGTTTGTGCGCGAGTTACCATGTCTGTGGTTCATATATTACCATGTTATTTATGCATAAGTTATCAAAGTTATGTTTTCAAACAACTTCCTCCCCCAAGGTCGAAGTTATCACGGTGTTTGTACATGAGTTATCAAGTCTATGGTACGTATATTATCGTGACATTTGTACGGAAGTTATCGGGAGGGGTATGTTTTCAAACTACTTTCTCCCTCCCACCACCCCGGATCAAAGTTGTCATGGTATTTATGCATAAGTTATCACGTATAAGGTGCGTACAGTTCCAAGCTATTTACATGTAAGTTCCCGGGGTTTTTTTGAACACCTTCCCACATCCCACACCCGTTGCCAAAGTTACTAAGACCACGGTACAAAAGTTGTCAGGTTTGTATTGTGTGAGTT